GGTCGAGGTTAAAGCAAGGTGTAATCTTAAGTGAATAAATCTAAGCATGCTGTGTCTCGTATGAAGCCTTGAGGAAAAGAAGCCGTTTGAATCCTTTTCCAACTTTAATGACAAATAAGCAAACAAATAAACCCAAGTGTAGCTAGGCTCTTAAACACAACAAAGATTACTCTCTACCGAACTTTGGGCCTACAGGTAGATTGCTCTGGATGCAAACCCAAGATACATCTAGTCGCACAAGGTAATGCATATAATGTAAGGATAATGGAATATGACTGATAATTGAATTTCTAACAATGAAATGAACAGATAGTTTCATTATGCACTTAAATACCACTTGGCTTTGCCTTGAAAAAGTCTACTCATCATGCCTAAACTGCAGCTTCCATCTCACCTGCAACCCTATTAAAATTAGAAACTAATTCATATACACCACACAGTAATGGGTGTAGGTGAGTAATGGGGAGATATAATGTATAAGGCAAGCCAGGCCTCGACATATTCAGATTTTATGGTGGGACTGCTGTGGATTATATAAAATAATACCACCTTACTATAAAGCAGGTCTTGAAATTATCAGTAAATTTTGAATATTTACCTGATAAGACGCATGGAAAATAAAAAGCTCGATCAAACATGGATGAGAAAGTTTATTAGAAGAAAAGACATTGTCAGTCCTCCTACTACTTTACTTGTGAGTTACCTGAAGGAGCTCAATGTAACTCAGACTCTTATTCAAAATATAATAATAGTTTCCAAACTTACGCGATCGGTATATGCTCTGAATGATGAATATTTCTCAAGTGTGAGCCCATTCTTCAATCAAATAGTCCTGGAGATATGAAATATGGGTCGAATTCAAATGGCCAAGGCAAGAAAGCCAGGTTCAAACTGATTATTTTATGCACCTCAAAACGTTTTCAAAGATATGAAGACAAAGAAGATGTGGCCTTCAGTATGGATCCAGTCTATTTTTGTTGTATAGAAGTAGTTTGACCTAGTTTTCGCAACTTGGTCATATTGGCAGGAAGACCTAGGGAAACACACCTTGTCATGAGTCCATAGTATGTATGATAATTTACAGAGTCGGACGGTAGACTTGGTAGCTTCACAAACTTCGCCGGCTCCATCAGTGAGCTTTGCCACACTGTATCATACCAGAACTCGTCAAAAAGACAAGTGAAGTCAATCCTTCGACCAATTGTCTCTCATGTTCTGGTGTATTCGCCAATCATATATCCTCGTAACACCCCTTCACTTGCTTAGTTGCTTATATGAAACTGGTTGATATGCGCCCTTTTTGAGCGGATTTAGTGAGACTCATGCACAGTCCCGGCAAGTTCTCACTTCCCTCTCACTTGTTAGGCCAAGACTTCAGCTTAATCCGCAATCCTCTTCCTCAATGTTGTATCAGCGTCTCCCTATTATTTCATAGGACCCACCGTTTATCATTTGAACGCTGCCACCATATCCGTGATACTCAAGGCGTTATACTCCAAACTCGGCGTCAAACCTTTGATAGTACTTGTACGCCAGCCCCACCCCCTAAAGTATGGATTCTCAAGTAGCATGGAGACTTAACTTGACGCTGCAGAATCCCTTATCACTGTTCGGTATGTGCACCGAGTAAATCTCGAGGCAAAGTCTCTACAGCACAGGCCACATATATGCTCAAACTTATCTACTAATAGCCCATATATTTATGTTCTCCGTCGCATCTCTCACTCCTCTTTCCATAATGACTTCTCCAACTTATTTTTATTATGCTCACTTTCGAACAATTTTAACATTTGGGATTTGGCACACAAAGGCATAGGCAAGTCATAATTGATAGAAGAGCAAGAGATACGGCGGAAAACATAGATAGTTGGCTATTAGTAGATAAGATTAATCATAGATGTGGTCCGCGATTTAAAAAGTTGACCACAAGATTTACTCAGTGTACATGCTGAAAAGTGATAAGGGATTCCGCAGCGTCAAGATAGGGTTCCATGCTGCTTGTGACTACAGACTTTATGGGGTTACTCAGTGAGGTTGAAGGATACGTGCTATCATAGCTTTGAGGCAAAGTGTAGAACAATGCACCTCGAGTAGCATGAATATGGTCGCAGCGAAAGAGCTAATTCGGTGAACCAGGAAGATAAGACTGATCATATGTAGCAAGAAAGAGGAAGAGGATTGCAAACTAAACTACAATCTTGGCTCAACGCTTCCAACACTGTAGGGGATGTGGGAACCAGCGGGGAGTGTGAATAGGTTTTAAATAGGTTTATATAAGCATGTAAGAAATTGTGATATTGAAAGGGTGACACGAGGATATAGAATAGGTGAATACCTTAGGACAGAAGATAAGCTACCACAAATGTTTAGCAGACAATTAATCAAAGGATCGACTTCGCTTGTTTCTTAGACTAGTTATGGTGTGATGTAAAAAATGGCAAGGCTCACTGACGATTCGGACTACAATGCCGGTGAAACGTCTTGGAATGTACAGAGTCTACGGTCCGACCTCGGAAAGTATCATGAATACTATGGACTCCGGAAAACTCGCGTTACTCTAAGGCTTCTTGCCAATATGACCAAGTTGCGAAACCAAGGTCAAAATACCTCTATACATCATCTTGCTCTTGTATTTTCGAAAAACGGATGCAATTGGCCGTTAAATACAATAGTATTGTTTGCCCAACGATAAGCACCAATTAGAATTAGTCTAACCTCTTAAAATATATAGAAGTGGTTGGTATGACTTGTCAAAAAATATCTGGTAATTTTACAAAATTGGTTGGCGATATATAAAATGAATTTCAATGAATATATATACTTAAGTATGGCTGCAAATTCTGAGTCATGGACCAATGTGAGAGAACAGCCCGTGCATCCAGTACGTCGTCGGGTCCAGTGTCCATATGAAAATACGGAGTCAGGCCTAGTGTGTGTTTCTTCGAAGCGGCCCTAGCTTTCTTGTGCCCGGGTAGAATGACTGCCGAGGCTAGACGCTGATCATTTTCTTGTGTGGAAGGTATAGATAGGACAGCCTCAGCGTAAGGTGAACCAGGTTGGATTGTGGTCGTCGACTCATTTAAATGAGGGGATTGTTTTGTCGACAGATTTCTAGTTCCAAGATGGACCACTTTGAGTAAGCTGGAACCAATATTCCTGAGTTTCGAGGGCATCTGAGGCTTGACGTTAACCTGGAGGCCAAATACAAGAGCTCTGACTCAGGCATTTTTGTATTTTTGCAAATCATGCAAGAGCCTAGCGATTTGCATACTTATTACTTCTTTCAGGCTATTAAGCGGTATTAAAGTAGGGTTTCGAGACTACCAGTAAATCAGAGATGTATTCACCCTATTTCGTGTAAGGTGATGAAGGACTGGTAGTAGAATTTTCCCACAATGATAT